TGTCTCCAAAGCCAGTCCTTTTTCCACCGTAGCACAAAACCACTTCAAAAACCAATGCAAAACTAACTCTGAGCAAAGGAAAACTAAGAAAATGGGCCCGTTACACAGCATTCTGCATTGCTGGCCACTTCGAGTTCCCTCGGAAAAGTATCCCAATTGCTTTCTTTCATTACCTTGACTTCTAGCCAAAAAGTGGGAAACATGATTCTACAGAATGTTTATCTCCGTGTGCCCTTTCTACCCCCCTCCTCAAAAAATCTGTTTCAACTTTCCACTCTAAACCTCCCTTGAAAGAAGCAGCACCAGTATCACTGGCCCTTGGCACCAGTCCCCAAATGGTCAGCTACTCCTGCAAGGCAGAGCAACGCAGGAAATAAGACAGTGGGTTAGGCGCTGAGGCAGATCCGAGTCAAGGTGTGACGGTGGCCAGGTTCCTTAAATTTGGGTCTCACCCTTCCCATCTATAGAATGGGGATGTGGCATCTCCCCCGGGTAGGTGCGGAAAGAATTCAGGGAGACAGTCTATGTGGCTGGCACTAATATTTCCTCCTCCTCCTTCTCTCTCTCCCATTTCCCTTAGTAACAGCGGAACCAGGCTAATTTTAAGGTCAGGAGACCACAACGCAGTCACTCCCTGGGAGCCCCTCCTCGCCGAGGTTAGATAGCCCCGAACATCCCCAACCTGCATCCCCTCCTTTTTCAAACACCGCAAATCCACCCTGTCCCCTACAACAAAGAAGGAAGCCAGGTTAGCCTCCGGACACTGTCACCTGCCCCGCAGTCGCGCTCCAAAGTGATCTGCAGTCCGTCGGATTCCGGCTGTTACTATTATTAGTATCTGTTCACAACAATACCTAACGGTGCGCGGGGGTGGCCGTCTCCCTGGCGAGGTCGGTGAAACCCCCCGGGGGAGCCCAAAGCGCTCCCGATGCACATTTCCGACTAAAAATCCCAAGAATTTATAAAACAGCTTTCCAAATGGGAGGAAGGCAAGAGTTGTAAAGTTTCTGCAGGCGCATTTTTCCGCGTTTCCCTGAACGGTAATGAGGAGGCGATGCTCTCCGCAGCTGGGGGCGACCGGGGCGGCTGAGGGTCACGACTGGGGATCCGGTAGGTCAGCAGCGGGTCCTGCACGGGTCCGAGAATACACGCTTCCCGGCTGACCGCGCGGGAGGAGACCCGGCGCCCCAGCCCCGCGGGGAGGGTCCCCACAGGTACAGGGGCCCCCCGGGGTGGGAGGGCGGTCGCACTCACCCTCCGTGCTCCTCTTCGCCTCCCGGTAGCGCTCCCACAAGTAGCGCTTCATGTCCGGAGCGGTTCCAGGGGCCGTGCACAAGGGCCGTGCGT